TTCAGGGGGTACATATGCTGGTTTGTTACCTGGGTATATTACATGATGCAGAGGTTTGGGATATGAATGATCCCATCACCGAGGTACTGAGCATAGTACTTGGCAGTTAGTTTTTCAATCCCTGCCTTCCTCCCTCTCTCCTTCCCTCTAATAGTCCCCAGTTTCTATTACTGTCATCTTTACTTTGCCATTTTTTAAAAAACAAAACTGATGATAGCAAAGAATTTAACAGATTTCTCCATAGTGAATAAATACAGAATTCTGAGGGTCAACTTTATACTTACACTTAGTATAGATGCTGCTGAAAAGGACAAATGGTTCATCCTACTGTGGAAGTTTTCGAGAATGTGCAGCACACCAACATGGCACAAGTATACATATGTAGCAAACCTGCACGTTGTGCACATGTACCCTACAACTTGAAGTTTAATAATAATAAATAAATTTGAGAATGTCATGTGTGTTTTTAACCAACCTTGTTTGACTCTCAGCCCCTATACCAATGGGGGAGGAGGGAAATTCAACTTCAATAGTTTCTGTGCCATCCCTCACCTCCTCTGGGTCTCATAGAATCTGGAAGATTTTTGTGCCCCCAGAACATGAGGGGTGAGCCCCTACTCTCCTGTCCATCATATTCAGTATGGCTCCCTTGACCCACAGCTCTTTGCTTCTGTTCTGTGTATCACAAGAGGTTTATTTCTTCCTCCTTCTCTTTATTTGACCTTCAAACTGAAATCTGTCTGCTGCCACACACACAAAAAGCAGTTATTGCTATGAGCAGAAAGCTGCCTAGCCTGCTCTATTAATCATATGAGCAAACTTTCCCTTATTTTTGAAGTCCTCATCATTACTGAGGAGGCACTCTATAAATAATAATTTTCCTATTCACTTAGGCCAAAGGGAAGAAAAAAGAGATTAAATTTTTATGTCCCTGTTCATGACACAGCTAACAAGCTGTATCAGCTCTGGGTTTTTTTTTTTCTTAATAGAGACAAGAAGGGTTTGAAAAGGTTATATAGTCCAATAAATGGTTTAAAGATTCCTCCCTACCTTCTTTATTTAGTATGCTTACCCCACAATTACCCTGTGTTTGCATTTAAATTATACTTCAATTTGTAATTCAATCAACACGTCTTTGGATTTCTTTCATGTGTGTGGTTCTGTGCTGAGTACTCTATTTTCTTTACCAATTCCACTGAGAAATGCTAGCAAAGAATTTCATTCAAATGCCTCTGGGTGCAGAAGCACCTTTTCGCCTGCTACCTCACCCTTTTGTCCCAACTGCTACTTTTACAAACGCACTACTCAATGAAGAGGCTAAATGAGATGATTTGGACCAGAAACTAATGATTTGAGAACCTAAAATATTGTGGGATTTTTTTTTAATCTCTCTCTCTCGATTGAACCTATTAACCAAATAATTATAAAATATCTACTTAGTACTGTGTTGATACATTTTGAAGGAAATGTCATAATCAACGTTATCAATGGTACCTTCTGCTCTTTAAAAAAGAAGTTTAAAATTAAGAAAGTGGCCAGTCATGGTGGCTCATGCCTGAAATCCCAGAACGTTGGGAGGCTTAGGCAGGAGAATGACTTGAGGCCAGGAGTTTGAGACCAGCCTGGGCAACATAGTGAGACATGGTTCTACAAAAAAAGAAAAAAAAAAAAAAAAAAAGAGAGTCAGCCATGGTGATGTGTGCCTGTAGTCCTAGCTACTCAGGAGGCTAGGGTGGAAGGATCACTTGGGCCTAGGAGGATGCAGTGAGCTATGATTGTACCACTGTACTCCAGCCTGGGTGACAGAGTATGACCCTGTCTCTTAAAAAAGAAACAAAGGAATTAATTTTTTTAACTTAAACATATAGTTCTATGGTCTATCAAGGAAACTCCAGTGTTAAGGAACAAGACTATAGTATGTATGTTACCTTTGGTTCATTGGTTCCTTTGAGAAACTTTAAATATGTCTTAAAAATGTAAGAAACTCTTAAAAGAACAAATGAGCTATGTTTTTATACAAATGGAACTATCAATTATTTGTAGATAAATGGCTATGAAAATCTGTTCTAATTTATTCAGGCAGTGTTTCCTGTTTTAAAAATGCTTGCATATTGGGCTCAACATTAGGCACTGGGAATATGAGGGTGGGCACTGTCTAAGGAGTTTATAGTGTCGTGACTTTTTGCTATAATATCAGTAAAAAATTTTTTTATTTGTTTTTGATTATACTATAAGTTCTGGGGTACATGTGCAGAACATGCAGGTTTGTTACAAAGCATACAGTGCCATGGTGGTTTGCTGCACTCATCAACCCGTCATCTACATTAGGTATTTCTCCTAGTACTATCCTTCCCCCAGCTCCTCAACCCCCAATAGGCCCTGGTGTGTGACGTTCCCCTCCCTGTGTCCATGTGTTCTCATTGTTCAATTCCCACTTATGAGTGAGAACATGCAGTGTCTGGTTTTCTGTTTCTGTGTTAGTTTGCTGAGAATGATGGTTTCCAGTTTCATCCACGTCCCTCCAAATCCATGTCTTTTTTCATGGCTGCATAGTATTCCATGGTGTATATGTGCCACATTTTTTTTATCCAGTCTATCATTGAAGGGCATTTGGGTTGGTTCCAAGTCTTTGCTGTTGTGAACAGTGCCACAGTAAACATACGTGTGCATGTGTCTTTATAGTAGAATGACTTATAATCCTTTGGGTATATACCCAGTAATGGGATTGCTGGATCAAATGATATTTCTAGTTCTAGATCCTTGAGGAATCACCACACTGTCTGCCATAATGGTTGAACTAATTCACACTGTCACCAACAGTGTAAAAGCGTTCCTATTTCTCCACATCCTCTCCAGCATATGTTGTTTCCTGACTTTTTAATGGTCACCATTCTAACTGGGGTGAGATTGTATCTCATTGTGGTTTTGATTTGCATTTCTCTAGTGACCAGTGATGATGAGCTTTTTTTCATGTTTATTGGCCGCATAAATGTCTTCTTTTGAGAAGTGTCTGTTCATATCCTTCGCCACTTTTTGATGGGGTTGTTTGCTTTTTTCTTCTAAATTTGTTTAAGTTCTTTGTAGATTCTGGCTATTAGCCCTTTGTCAGATAGATAGATTGCAAAAATTTTCTCTCATTCTATAGGTTGCCTGTTCACTCTGATGATAGTTTCTTTTCCTGTGCAGAAGCTCTTTAGTTTAATTAGATCCCATTTGCCAATTTTGGCTTTTGTTGCCATTGCTTTTGGTGTTTTAGTCCTGAAGTCTTTGCCCATGCCTGTGTCCTGAATGGCATTGCCTAGATTTTCTTCTAGGGTTTTTATGGTTTTAGGTCTTATGTTTAAGTCTTTAATCCATCTTGAGTTAATTTTTGTATAAGGTGTAAGGAAAGGATCCAGTTTCAGCTTTCTGCATTTGGCTAGTCAGTTTTCCCAACATCATTTATTAAATAGGGAGTCCTTTCCCCATTGCTTGTTTTTGTCAGGTTGGTCAAAGATCAGATGGTTGTAGATGTATGCTGTTATTTCTGAGGCCTCTGTTCTGTTCCATTGGTCTACATATTTGCTTTGGTACCAGTACCATGCTGTTTTGGTTAATGTAGCCTTGTAGTATAGTTTGAAGTCAGGTAGCATGATGCCTTCAGCTTTGTTCTTTGTTTTTTTTTTGTTGTTGTTGTTGTTTGTTTGTTTCCTTCTTCTTTTTTGTTGTATTTTTGGCTATGTGGGCTCTTTTTTTGGTTCCATATGAAATTTAAAGTAGTCGTTTTCAGTTCTGTGAAGAAAATCAATGGTAGCTTGATGGGAATAGCACTGACTCTATAAATTACTTTGGGAAGTATGGCCATTTTCACGATATTGATTCTTCCTATCCATGAGCATGGAATGTTTTTCCATTTGTTTGTGTCATCTCTTATTTCCTTGAGCAATGGTTGGCAGTTCTTCATGAAGAGGTCCTTCACATCCCTTATAAGTTGTATTCCAAAGTATTTTATTCTCTTTCTAGCAGTTGTGAATGGGAGTTCACTCATGATTTGGCTCTCTGTTTGTCTGTTATAGGTGTGTAGGAATGCTTGTGATTTTTGCACATTGATTTTTGTGCATTTATTTTTGTATCCTGAGACTTTGCTGAAGTTGCTTATCAGCTTAAGGAGATTTTGGGCTGAGACGTTGGGGTTTTCTAAATATACAATCATGTCATCTGCAAACAGAGACAATTAGACTTCCTCTTTTCCTAATTGAATATCATTTATTTCTTTCTCTTGCCTGATTGCCCTGGCCAGAACTTCCAATACTATGTTGAATAGGAGTGGTGAGAGAGGGCATCCTTGTCTAGTGCCGGTTTTCAAAGGGAATGCTTCCAGTTTTTGCTCATTCAGTATGTTATTGACTGTGGGTTTGTCATAAATAGCTCTTATTATTTTGAGATATGTTCCATCAATACCTGGTTTATTGAGAGTTTTTAGCATGACGGGCTGTTGAATTTTGTCGAAGGCCTTTTCTGCATCTATTGAGACAAATCATGTTGTGGTTTTTGTCATTGGTTCTGTTTATGTGATGGATTACATTTATTGATTTGTATATGTTGAACCTCAGTAAAAATTTAATATTTCAATATTATTAGATACTTTAACTTTAAAGTCCTAGGGTTTTAAAGAGAGTGATGTAATAAAATTCCGGGGTGTTCATTTACTCACCTAATCACTGATATTTAAACAAACAAGCCTCTCACATTTTAACAACTACAACACCTTTCCTTGACTCTACTTCTTACTCTAGTAACTACCTTCTTTCTTTTCATAGCTGCGTTTCTAAGAGCTTGCTATACTCACTCTTTTTGCTCTCTATCCACTCCTTTCTAATGTAACTTTCTACCAAAACAGTTCAAATGCTCCATAGACCCATTTTATCCAGTGTGTCCCTTCTTGAAACACTTTCTTCTCTTGCTTCCATACTTTACTGATTTTCTCTCAACTCCAGGATCTCTTTTGTAGATTCCTGTATGTTGCTGTTACATGTTAACATTTCTCAAAGCTCAAGTTTGTGGCTCCCTTTTTTGCTCATATTCTAACCTTTACTGACGTAATCTCATTCACTTCTATACCAACAACTCCCAAATTTACATTTCCTTCCCAGATTTCTCCTTTGAACTCCAGAGTATTGCATACTCTCCATCCCCATGAGGAAATCTCAAAGCCTCCTCTAACTCAATACATTTCAAATGGAATGATGATCTTCACTCCTCCATGCCTGGGTTTGATATCTTGGTGAATGGCACTGTAACCCACTCACCTGCATAACACACAGACCTAGCAATTGGTTTTGAAACTCCCATCTCCTTAGCCCCCCACCCCATAGTATCCAGTACATTAACAATCCCTTATAAATCTCTCTCAGATCTACCTATAATCTCTGCATCTGTGCTAACACCATCCTAATCCAAGTTAACATCTTTTCCTGCCTGGACTACTGTGTAACCACCCAACTGGCTTTGTGCAGCCCTCTTTTCTAGCTCAGTCTGTCCTTCCCACTGCAACCAGAATAAATGCAAGTATTATCAAGCTGCTTAGATGCCTAAAACCCTTTTAATTAGTAAGCATTACTTGTAGCTGAAAGATCATAATCTGACTGCCTCTCTGGCCCCATCTTGCATCAGGCTCCTCACTTGCTCCCTCTATGCCTGGTATAATTTCAGTACCTTTAATGTGTCCCATTCCTAGCACAGCTGTTCACCTTGTTTGACACGCTTCTCCCTCTGTCCTCCTCAGGTTGCCTAGGCAACTCCTATTCAATTGACTGGATGTAAGGTCATTTCCTCACAGAAGCCTTCCCTGGCCCTCAGACTAAGTCAAATTTCCTTTTTCTGTACTTTCATAGCACTCGCTATTTCATAAAAACGATTGTTGACTTATATGTACACATTTGGTTGTATAATGATTTGATTAATATTTATCTTGCCTACTACTCTATTTAATGAGGGCAAGGACTGTATTTATTATTCTTACCGTTTCATCCTCAAAGCCTATTGCAGTGCCTGGCACACAATAGGCACTTTCTAAAAGTCTGCTGACTGAATAAACAGAGGAAATGCACAAATGAAGGGCAGAGGTCATAGTAACTTGCCCAGGGTCAAGATGGCAAGGCTGAGACTATAGTTTCCAGTCCAGATCACCAGTCTTCTGAATAAATATCTTGTCCTAAATTTTGTTCTAAATCATTGGAACCAAAGCAACGTCACAACTCAAGTCCAATTTCTCGGCCTCCCGTTTTCTACAGATGGCATTTATTCAGCAATGGAATGTTGTAAGTATAGTAATTTTTCTTTTTTCCATGAAACATGTGTTATCTTCTTGCTCTATTTTGAAGGGATATTATGATAAACGATGCTACTATTTAAAACTTGTTAAAGCTTCTTGGGATTCTCAGAAAAAGTACAAGATATAAGTCAAAAAGAGTAATTTTGTCTCTCACAAAAGAATTTTCTGTTAAAAAAATGCTGTTAACTTGAAAAAGTGGTATCTCCCAAAGAACATTCTAATAGGTGGGATAATCATCATCATATTTCTAGCTGCTATGTATATCCCTTCCCTTAAAAGTAAAAAAGGAGAAAATCACTTTGCTGTGTGGAAGTGCTTTGTGTGTTTTATAAAATCCCCATAAAATATTTAGTGGTTCAAGGAACGGCTGCCGCATTTCTAAGGCAAATAGCTTATCCCTGAAAAAGCTTGAGGATCTGACTCTCAAGAGTCTTTGTGCTCTGGATGAATAAGAAATCATTATTTTTGAACTTCCCTGCTCACGTCAGTGACTTCCACCTGCACCCAATCCATTGGCTATAAGTACCCATGAATTGCCTTGCCAATTATAGGCAGGATTACCTAGGAGGACCAGGCAAAACCAAACTCCTGGTAAGCTTTATTAGCCTTTTCTATGATGTGTCTCAGTTTCCATTTCACACCTTGGAGTGGAAGACAATCTCTACTCACACTGTTGTGGTATGTGTCTGTCTGTCTCAGATGTGTGTGTAAGGTGTATTTCTCAGCTCAGGGTATCTGAAGTAATTTCTTTTTTTTTTTTTTTTTTTTTAAGACCACTGTCTTAAGGCTTAAAAGTAATTTAAGGTTTTGTTTTTTGTTATTATTTTAAGAATTGCAGTTTCTTTGGAGACAGCAAAGTACTTTTTATTCAAAGACGAAAGAGGTATACTCAGACTTTCTATGTTATGTTCATACTTGTTTTGCTTATCACTGTATAACATTCTCATCACGATGGGCTACTTTAAGCTAATCAGCTGGATTTTGGGGTCCTCATTTAGAAGTCAATCTGGAAAAAATATAGCTGTAAAACTTAGATGAACCAGTATGCTATTTCTCCTTCCTTGTCTGCCTTTACAGATGTTTTCTCTTTCTCTCTCTCTTCCCTGACTATCTCTCTCAATGATCATTGACAGCTCCCCCATCCCCTCTTTCACTCAGCTTCACTCCACCATGACCAGAGCATCTCTCCTGCTACTATGTGTTGCCCTGGTGCTGCTTTGGCATGTGAATGGAGCCACACTAAGAAACAAAGACAAATGGAAGCCACTCAACAACCCCAGAAACAGAGATCTGGTAAGAACACACCTGGGGCCTGGGTTTCAGGATAGAACTAATGCCTCTTTGGATTTATGCACACAGCGTTCTGTTTTCCAGAACATAGTGGAAAGAGGGCTACCAAGGGTTGAGAAGATTCTCCAACAGGATTGGACCAGAGTTTTACTACCCTAGTGGTTGGCAACCTATTGTTTCTCTGGCCGGTTTACATTTGTTTCTGTAAAGAGAAACAAATTTATATTTAGAAACAATCTTATACACACAGAGTGCATTTCATTTGTAACTCATCTTATATACACATTGACTTTGTAGCCTTGACTTCTAATACATATACAAAACCAAGAGTGTAACACGGAATTGCTCGTGCATAGCTTAGATTGAACTGATGATAAAACAAATTATCATGTAACTAGCAATTGCCAAGCTCAACTGCAAAAATTGAAAGTTGGCCCTGCATGGGTATCAATTTGCTGGGCATATTTTCAACATATTCTATAAAATAGAATTCAAAAGATCAGTAAACATTCTCTTTAAAAAATATGCCAAATACAATAAACATGTTGACATGACTATTCTGAAATATGGTTTCTCTAAAGTGAATGATGTGAAATATAAAAACATAGGATGAAAATAAACTAGATAAAAGACCAGCAGGATTTGTTTTCTGGTCACAGCTGCTGACCAAAACAGGATCTGGTCCAGACAGGATAAAGTAAAAGTAAAAACACTGGGTGAAACCAGCAGATGGTGACAAAAGTGGTCCCGACCTGCTCTCATTGCTCATTAGGATATGATACTCCCCTCAGTACCATGACAGTTTACAAATATCATAGCAATGACCTGGAAGCTACCACTCCTTTCCATGGCAATGACCCAAAAGTTACCACCTCTTTCCTAGAAAGCTCTAAATAACCCCCTTCTATTTGCATTAACCCATCCCTTAATTTGCGTATATTCAAAAATGGATAAAAACACAGTTGCTAAGAACCTATATGTTGTCAACTCTGGGTGTACTACCTGTGAGTTAGCCTTGTTCTGGCAGGAGCAGTATCTTTCAGTAAAAGATTGTTACCACAGTCAGCCTGCCCTTAAATTCTTTTCTGGGCAAAGCCAAGAACCCTCCTGGGCTAAGCCCCAGTTTTGGAGTTTGCCTGTCCTGCATCAAAGCAAGTAGCACTTTGCACATCTTCTGTGTTCATTTCCTAATGGAAATCTGAAAAGAAACTATTGAAGAAGGCAGTGATAGAGATCTCATCTTAAGGAAGAGGAGATAAAGCTGCTAATTATGGAGTTCATTTTCATCTTTGACCTTAGTACTCAGATAGTTCACAATGAATCTTTCGACTGAGGTGCTGTTCCATAGTCTTTCTTCAATTTTCACTAAAAATGGTGAATTATTTTGGTTAGGGTTGAAATATCAGAAAGAAGGTACAGGGGAGGGGAGGAGAAGTATTTGAAGCATGTACTTGTATTTCTGGATTTTGATTTCCAACCTCTTGCCTCTTAGATTAGCCTTAAAGTCAATTCAGAGGAAAAATAGAGGGAAAAAAATCACCTTTATTTTTGATGTTTCATTTATATCTGGCATTGACCATTTTCTTTCTCTCTTTAGTTTTTCAGAAGCCTTCAGGCATATTTTAAGGGCAGAGGTCTTGATCTTGGAACATTTCCAAATCCTTTCCCCACGAATGAGAATCCTAGACCTCTCTCTTTCCAATCAGAACTTACTGCTTCTGCATCTGCAGATTATGAAGAGCAGAAAAATTCCTTTCACAATTATCTCAAAGGCTGAAAGTTTCTTCTGAGCTCAGGTAAAAGTTGGCCCTTTATTCGCAGGATCTGTCTAGACATACAAGTCAGCCATAAAGTAGATATTTTGAAAGTATTTATTTGAAAAAATAATTTTATTTCCTCATAGGAATAAGTGCTCAGTTCTGCTTATACTCCTCACTGTTAAGTATTTGGATTTGGTTAAGGTATTTTACAGTCTTGTTTTAAAAAGAAATGACAGTTTTTATTTTTTAAGCATAGTTATTCAGGCAGAGACATATTAAAATAATAGAATTCTCTCTCTTAATAGGATTATTAAATTAATAACATGGCCACACTCTTACCTGTATCTTTTTCCAGACCAAGTGATATAGCTAAGTTATGTGGAAAATCTACATAAAGACATATGCCAAATTGAGTTGTTGGATTAGATGGGAATTAAAAATTGAAAGAATGGTTCTTTGGGGGATAAAGTATTATGCATATATTTGAACTCAAACTTCCTCACCTATAGAAAGAAAAGGTTGACTATTAGTAAGGATGGCATTTTTCTCATAGAAAAAAACTTAAAAATTTATTAAGATTTGAATTTCATTACTTTTTTTGTTGTTGTTGAGGTGGAGCCTCACTCCGTCACCCAGGCTGGGGTGCAATGGTGCGATCTTTTGCACTGCAACCTCCGCCTCCCGGGTTCAAAGGATTCTCCTGCCTCAGCCTCCTGAGTAGCTGGGATTACAGGTGCCCGCCACCATGCCCAGATAAATTTTATTTTTTTTTAGTAGAGATGGGGTTTCACCATGTTGGCCAGGCTGATCTCGAACCCCTGACCTCGTGATCTGCCCACCTCAGCCTCCCAAAGTGCTCCCAAAGTAATTACAGGCATGAGCCAGCACACCCAGCGAATTTCCTTACTCTTATTACTTTAGCATTCCTATCAAACCAACACCTACCATTTAAAAAGAACAAATATGATTGGCCAGGCGCGGTGGCTCACGCCTGTAGTACCAGCACTTTGGGAGGCCAAGGCGGAAGGATCATGGGGTTAAGAAATAGAGACCATCCTGGCTAACATAGTGAAACCCCGTCTGTACTAAAAACACAAAAAATTAGCTGGGCGTAGTGGGGGGTGCCTTTCGTCCCAGCTGCTCAGGAAGCTGAGGCAGGAGAATGGCGTGAACCCAGGAGGCGGAGCTTGCAGTGAGTGGACATGGCGCCACTGCACTCCAGCCTGGGCGACAGAGCGAGACTCCATCTCAAAAAAAAAAAAAGAGAAAAAAAAGAACAAGTATGGTGAATTCCAAGCAAATACATTATGATTTCAATCCATTAGCTTTTTGTTTAGCTGAATGATAAAGGGAATGGAATCATAATTAAAATCTTTTCCCCGTCTCCCACAAGTGTAATTTTGAAATTCTGAGGAAGCATGTCTTTCTTGTGCTTCATGGTGTTTGTGAAAGGGTTTTCATTATTAGTTCTTTTAAATGTGATGATTAAAAAATAATGATTGCTATTCTAAAAAGAACGTATAACTTACCATGTGGAATATGCCCTTGGATATTGTTCTAAAATGAGAAAATAAAATAGAAGAAACAGTAAGATGTTAATGAAGTTTTCTCTTTACTATTTTTTACACTTAGGCCTTAGGGTTTCAGAGAATAGTTATTAATAGCATACTACCTCTCTTAGTAAAAGGCAGATAAATTGCTTGTAAGCCTCAGCTTGTTCATCTGTAAATTGCAGGTACTAGTTTCTACCTTAGAGAAAGTATCATAGAAAATATCAAATAAATACTTTCATGTGAGCATGGAATGAGGTAATATTTAAGGGCAGGAAACTGATAAAGCACCCAGTTGGTGGTATCGTAAAAGAACAGGAATTATTCACCTTTATGAAAAAAAAAAACAAAACAAAACACAAAGCTTCTGATTTGGAGTATATTTCATAATTATGAGCTCTATGTTCCTTACATCTCTGGTGAGAAAATGATGAAAAAAAGAGTTTTCATTAAAATATGTTGATTTGGGGGTCGTTGGTTTGACTGTGTAGTCTTCAGTTTTTATTTAATTATAACATTGTCTTGTTCTTTCAGGTGTCTGGCTATTGTAAAGCTACAGATGAAGCCTCTCATTAGAAAAATTCAACCACTGTCATAGCTAAACTTTCGTGTAGTTTCTTTCCCCCTCACTTTTATTTTTCAGTTTGTAATGATTTTATTCCACATTTCCATATTTACATATAAATCGCTGGAACTATGATTTCTATGCATATTTATGGAGTGTTTTTCCTGTACAACCATAAATATTGATGTAGAGCAGTGCATGCATTTGTAGGAGTTACAAAAACATCACAAACTGAAAAAAGATTATAATCTAAATTAGATGTTTCTTTAAGCTTGTTTTTAAAACTTGTCTTTTAAGTTTATTATCTTTTATCAACCAATTTTTTTTTAAAGGGACATGCTCACTTTTAGTATAGTAAAATTCATTATATGTGATAGGGGGTTGGGTTTAAAATTTGTCTTCCTTTCCTAAAAAGAAGATGCATTCCCATGTTCAGCATACACTACTAAAAGACCTCACAGTTTTAGTTTCATAAGAAATGAGGGCAAGTGATAAACAGCCACAATTAAGTTAAAATGGAAGCAAACAACCACAACAAACATGGGATTTTAGAAGTTGTCAATGCCTCTGAAGATGTTCTTTGCCAGAATATTCAGAGGTGGACATTGTGCCACATCACATATTCTAGCAATGCCCCAGCCCTTGCTCTCATACACAACCTCCTCAGGAAGGAAAAGTAGGAACAGGTGATTTCCTCTCTTTCCAACCAGCCCCTGCCCTCCTTACTCTAGCTCATGCTGAGTTATTCTGATTCCCATATTCACATTTGGAATAGCTGCTTTTCCTGTATCTTTATAGATAGCTGTATCATCTTCTCTATGATTCCTGCAAAAGGAATGTTGCACTAAAATGCAACATTGTCCTAACATTAGTCTGTGCATTTCAAAATAGTTTACTGTGGCTTTTTTTTTTGGTGGATTATTGATATTGTATATGAAGAATAAAATATTTGTGCAAGAACAGATTTTGTGTCTGGTTTAAGATGTTCTGTTGTAATTAGTCGTATATGTGTCTGTTTCCCCTGAAGAGTCATGAGGTCTTTGTGAGCAGAGACCATATCTAATTCACCTTTATTTCCCCAGCACCTAGTACGATGCCTAGCATGGAGCAATTGTTCAATAGATACTTGTTGACTTGAAATAAACATGTGCTATTCATTCAGTCTTCACACAGTAATGGAAGCTCCTTTTAGTTAATGTCAAAACTTTTTTTCTTGCCATTTAAAGAATGTAAGTAATTCTTGATGAGCTATTCCTCATAAAAGTATAGCTTATTCACATAAATGGTAGAGTGGTAGGGAATTTTTCACCTCTGTCGAGTTCCAAGTACTAGTGGTTGGTTTTCCCTTTCTTAATACTGTCCCTGCTCTGTGTGTTAAGACTTCCACAAAGGGAATGCTTACCAGTTTCAGGGCATTGAAAAGGAAGGGCGTCCACATGGGACATTTGGACAATGCACCCAGCCTGCCCTATCATTTTGACAATCAAAACCTCCCGGGGGCTGGGCGTGGTGGCTCATGCCTGTAATCCCAGCACTTTGGGAGGCTGAGGTGGGCAGATTACCTGAGGTCAGGAGTTCGAGACCAGCCCGGCCAACATCGTGAAACCCTGTCTCTTGTAAAAATACAAAAACGAGCTGGGCGTGGTGGCTCATGCTTGTAGTCCCAACTACTCGGGAGTCTGAGCCAGGAGAATCACTTGAACCCGGGAGATGGAGGTTGCGGTGGGCCGAGATCATGCCACTACACTCCAGTCTGGCGACAGAGCAAGACTCCGTCTCAAACAAACAAATAAACAAACAAAACCCCAAAACCTCCCTACACACATTTCTAAAATTCACTAGGGAAATGATTTTGCTCTTGGCTGAGAACTACTGCCAGAACATAGATGAAGTGTATGTAGTGTTTGTTCCAATGCAAATAAATGTTCTGCAGGTGTTTTAGGCTCTGGAGGAGTCTCTGATACTTCCCTATATAGGTCCTTGGCAATCTCTCAACACTGAAAGGAGCCTCTGCTCCTCTTCAGTGAGTGTCTCATCTAGGGTGGCCAAGAACTGTTAAGAGTGTGAGCTTTTATCCTACTTGCAAGCTACACACTAGCTTTCTACACTTTCATCAAACTTGGCAGATACATGAGACACCTTATGTCTGAGACAACTGACTTTCTTACTGATGGCATGGCAGGTAGTGATACGAGTTTTACATTTACATCAGTTTTCTTTACTCCCCAAGTATCAAGGGGGCCGTGTGAATGTGCGTCCAGGGGTATGCTGTGCACAAGTGGGTTTGTGCCAAAGCTGAGAAACTCCAAACTTAGGAAATCCCCACTCTTCTAATAGCACTGCTAGCAAACACGCCCAAACTTCGCCCAGAGGGAAACATTTATTACACCGTTTGGAAAAAAAATTTGTTCCCTGCCCCAGAAAGAGACAATAGCTCCACCTTGCAAGGCTGTTTGATTTGAAAACAGCCTTGAAAAGCTAGCCTAGAACAAAGCTATCACAAGCTTTTTCAGAACAATTAATAACGCCATGGAAAAACAGTCTCCCACATAGGGTCCCAGCCCATCCTGGCTCTTCTCCCTGGCAAGAAGAAAGAATGTATGCTTTAAATTACATGGTCATGGTAAAAATTCAATGTTCTGTTTCCTTCAGACTTTCCATTTCGATTTTCAAAACAAGCCTGAATGTATTTTTCCACTTCATCTCAAGGTAATGTAGATACCTCTGACTCATCAGGAGACAAATCTCTCCCAAGGAAGGGGGGAAAGAAAAACAGAAAGATTGAAATTTCAAGATATGTTGCAACAGTCTGACTGCTAAAATAAGTTTCATGTCATTAAGATGTTCCATAGCCAAAAAAAAAAAAAAAAAACAAACCCACACACACAAAACAAACAAAAAAACCACCCTCCTACCCCTTGTTCACTGCTTCCTGTTCTTCATAATACGAATCTATATCTCCAGAATTGTTATTCCCATATTTCAGATAGCCAACAATAAGACAAGATAGTCTAAGTCATCTGGGTCTTAGGAGAGTATTCTCCTTATAGGTAACCATCCCTCCTCACTTGATTTCTCTTCTTTTCCCCTAGGAGAGTTAGGACTCAAGATTCCTAAATTCCTCTTAGACACAGTTCCTCCACTGTCTGGAAAAATTTAGGGGAGAATTTCCCTGTAAGTGGTTTAAGTGGATTGCTTTAACATACTCTACCCTGCTCACCTTCCATATTTTATACCCAGGTAGGACTCTGAGGATCCTTCCTCATGAGAAAGAGAATGACTTCTAGCTGAAAGATATATATATATTTTTTCTCACCTGGAAGTCCTGTCCTTGCAGGTCCTGGCCCCTCATTCTCCCATCCTTCTGCTGTTTATCCTCACCAGGATTGTCATAAAGATGGCTAGGTGATACTCTCCCTGTAACTTGTCTTTAACCTTAGCTTCATATTGAGCTTCATTTCCCTACTCCAGCTCCCTTGCCCCAGGTTCCAAAGGCACTTTCAATTCCATCCAATATAATTCACAAATGTGTTTTCAGCACAAATTATTAGGCCATACAGTAGGGTTTACAATGATGCATCAGTTAGGGCTGTTGTCAAGATGTTTACAGCTAGTGTCTCTAGAATTGGACAAATAGATAATTATAATATAAGGGAAAATATAAATCACAGGAGTGTGTAGAAGTTGAAAAACCATACCATTCAGAGGAAGCAGTATATTATAGTTCCAAGCATGGGACCTGGAGTCAGAAACCAGGGTTCAAATCCCGGCTCTACTACTTATTAGATAGAGACAATAGCATTAGGAATAATACCTACTGAGAAGGAAGGACTATTTTGAGAAATGTATGTAATATGTATAAAAGAGTAGATGGTCTATATATTTATTATACACTAATACGGGCAACAGTGTGTAGTAACCATACCAAGTATTTGGTTCTTTCTGAAAGTTTGCTGTTAGGAAAGGAAGAAAACTTGGGTGGGAGAGGTGGAACAGGAAGCCCAGGTGAATGTATTTACAGACTGAGAAGGTGCTTGAGGAAAGGGAGAGTGTGAGGATTTCGGGTGGGAGCAGGGCGCGGGTGGGGGAGAAATGGCGGGAGTGAAATTTAAAGCATACATTGGGGGAGGATTTTAGCTTTCTGTGGCAGGGGAGAACTGGAGAGTGAAACATACACGTGGCAGAGCAAATGGTTCAATTAAGAAAAAAATATCACACAGCAGTGACCAAATTAATTTAAAGAACCTTCAGGAAAGAAAACGGATTGGGAGAGGCCGGGCGCGGTGGCTTATGCCTGTAATCCCAGCACTTTGGGAGGCTGAGGCGGGCGGATCACGAGGTCAGAAGATCGAGACCATCCTGGCTAACACGGTGAAACCCCATCTCTACTAAAAATACAAAAAATTATCCAGGCGTGGTGGCGGGCGCCTGTAGTCCCAGCTTCTCGGGAGGCTGAGGCAGGAAAATCGCTTGAACCCGGGAGACGGAGGTTGCAGTGAGCTGAGATCGCGCCACTGCACTCCAGCCTGGGCGACAGAGCGCGACTCCGTCTTAAAAAAAAAAAAAAAGGATTGGGAGAATGAAACTAACACTTAGTGAAGAATTGAGGGAAATCACCCAGGTTAAAGAAAATATATTTAAAGCACTTTTTTTTTTTTGAGCTATCTAATACTCCGCACCGAAGGCTGAGCTAGTCGGCCGACCGAGTCTGCATGGGGCGCGCCTCCTACATATAGGTCCCGGCCTGGCGCACACGCGGAACCTGAGTGCTGCGGCTGCGGCGCAGACCCGGCGGGTTTCGCGGAGGGACGCCGGTTCCTTGTTTTTGCTGGCCCTGGCGAGGTAGCGTCTGGAAAGCGCTGCTCTTCCGGTTCTCTGTGCCGGTTCCTGGGGTTGCACAGACAGACCCTGCAAACATGTCAGGGTTCAGTCCGGAACTCATCGACTACTTGGAAGGGAAAATCTCCTTCGAGGAGTTCGAACGGCGGAGAGAAGAGAGAAAAACCCGCGAGAAGAAAGTGAGGCGATGCTAGGCCTCGGTGCCCTTCACTCTCGTTGCCCTAATACACTTAGGTGTTGGGGACCCAGACGACCGCTTTCACCGTGATGGGGGCGGGCTGGGAACTTTCAGCAGCTTCTTCCTTATCTTACCGAAACTCCGATTTTCACCCCTCATCCCTGTGCTAAAATCCTTAAAACGTTTTCGCCCACCGAAAACCTTTCGTCTTGGTGGTAACCTCTTCTTTTCCCCCCTAATACTACGTTTTTATTTCAGGGTAGTTTAACGCTGGTAAGTTAAATGGGAGGTGCGGAGAAGAGTTTGGAGTTTCAGTCTCAGGTTCCAGTCCTAGCTTTGCCACTAAGTCGTTTTGTGACGGTGGGTGGGTAGCTCACCTCTCTTCTTTAGGCCCCAGTGTCTCCTTTTCTGAACTGGAACGATTGAGCTCCTGTTTTTGAGGAGTCTCCAGCTGGTGTGAAGTAATAGTCCATGAAAAAGTATTGTCCGATAAGAAGATAATCTTCACCCGTACCTTTTTTTCCCCATACTTAGAAATATCTGAACTTTTTGTATCTTCTTGCTTACTTCAAGTCCAAGAGAAAATAAAAGTAATGAAACGTTTTTAAGTTCGCTGGCAGATTCTTTTTTTTTTTTTTTTCAGA